TGCTAATTTGCACCAAAGTCAATGCCCGAAGCCACCCAGGGTAACACTTCCAACATGCCCGGGTGCAGCAGGGTTAGTACCAACGTCTCCCGTCCAAGCCCCCGCCTGGTTCAGCTCTGCTTAGCAGCTGAGTTCCAACAACTCAGAATTATTAAGAAAGAGATAGAAAATAAGACCCAGAATATCTTACTGCCCCTGTATAAAACTATGGTACGCCCACATCTTGAATACTGTGTACAGATGTGGTCTCCTCACCTCAAAAAGATATTTTGGCCTTGGAAAGGGTTCAGAAAAGGGCAACTAAAATGATTAGGGGTTTGGAACGGGTCCCATATGAGGAGAGGTTAAAGCGACTGGGACTTTTTAGTTTAGAAAAGAGGAGACTGAGGGGGGATATGATAGAGGTCTATAAAATCATGAGTGGTGTGAAGAGGGCGGATAAAGAAAAGTTATTTATTAGTTCCCTAAATAGAAGAACTAGAGGACACCAAATGAAATTAATGGGGAGCAGGTTTAAAACTAATAAAAGAAAGTTCTTCTTCACACAGCGTGTAGTCAACCTGTGGAACTCCTTGCCAGAGGAGGCTGTGAAGGCTAGGACTATAACAGAGTTTAAAGAGAAGCTAGATAATTTCATGGAGGTTAGGTCCATAAACGGCTATTAGCCAGGGGATAAAATGGTGTCCCTGGCCTCTGTTTGTCAGAGGCTGGAGAGGGATGACAGGAGACAAATCGCTTGATCATTGTCTTCGGTCCACCCTCTCTGGGGTACCTGGTGTTGGCCGCTGTCGGTAGACAGGATACTGGGCTAGATGGACCTTTGCTCTGACCCAGTACGGCCGTTCTTATGTTTTTATGTAACAAAGCTGCAAGTCAAGTGCCTCTGGCCCAGTTATTTTGAGTTCTGCCGTCCACGCCGCCCTCGAACAACAAGAAAACCAAGGGCAGCTCTGGCGCCAGCAAAATGCTTGTTTTCCCTGTGGCTGCTGAAAGGGAAACAAGTTGCTGGCTTCTGTGTAGTCTGGCTGTCCGAGCACGTCCCTGGTGCGTGGCTGAGCTCAGCTAAATCAGGCACCCGAAACACCCACACTGCAAAAAGCCAAGCTGAGGTCAGCAGGCAGCTCGCAGCTCCCGAGGTCAGCTGTTACGCGGGGGGTGAAGGCGAATGTGGCATAAGAGGGAGAAGGTTCCTGCCCCCCACGGGAGCGCACGCAGACTGCTGGCAGCATGAGATGAGTTGGATCCTTTTAATGGATCCAGGCATTGGGCTGGGTCAGCCCTGCAAGAAGGGGGGTGGATTTGACATGGCCGGGGGAATGGGGATGGAAAACCCTCCATGGCTATTGCCTGGCTAGAGCCGGTTGAGGCTGCTCTCATGGGCACCACGCTGTAAGAAATCGACCCGTCTTTGCCCAGCACTCCTGGGTTCTCGTCCTGGCCCTGGGAGACTGCCTGGGGGCAGGTCCCTCCACCTGTGAGGTGAGGAGGAAGCTGTTTTACTGGGGACCAGCCCTGCCTTAGCAGCGAGTGTGGGCCTAGCCCTCCGCACATGCCCGAGCTATCGGAGCTGCAGGAAAGGGCCCGGTAGCCACCAGGACACAAGACAGGGGTCGGGCCGGGCACCGGGTGGGACTGCAGAGGGCAGGTCCCGGAGGAGGTCTGGACAGAGCCCTGTCCGCAAGCAGGCAGCGAGCGCGAAGCATGGCATGCAGCAGGGCGGCCGCAGAGGGCGGTGCCGGGGCTGAGTGGGAGGCCAATGCTGGAGCCCAGGCCGGCACTAATATGATTACCAGGGAGGTGCCCACGCTGCTCGAGGCCCGAGTGTCCTTGAGCAGGCACTGCTGGGAGGAAGCTCACAACACTGGGCACCGCTGGGATGAAGCTCACAACACCGGGTCCCAGCTGGGCACCGTTGGGAGGAAGTTCACAACACTGAGCCCCAGCTGGGCACCGCTGGGAGGAAGCTCACAACACCGGGTCCCAGTTGGGCACCGCTGGGAGGAAGCTCACAACACCGGATCCCAGCTAGACCCCGCTAGCGTAAGCTGCTACTGCAGGGTCCCCAGGTGCTGCTGCTGGCGAGGAGGAAGCCCCGAGAAGAGCACGGCTGCCCGCACGCGCCCAGG